TATGTAATAGTTGATTAATAGCTTTTAGCCCTAATTCAAATGTCAACTAAAACCTTCATCCTGTTTTATTAAGTATAATTCATTCAGATAAGACATTCTTTGTTATCCTTTGTCACATAGAGGCAGATTCCTGTTTTTTAACTACTGTCTAAGAAAGACATCTAGATTCTACAATCACTGTTAACTTTGAAGTTAAAATCTGTTTCTTTCTGTACAGGACCACGTCCGCGCTGCCATGACCTGCATTCGCTTCTTCACTCTTGGAGCAAGCTCGTACATACAGCTGGGAGAGCAGCAGGTACTTCCAGATTCTTTTATTTTCTGCTGACAGATTTGTTCAAGTTAAACTCGTGGCTGACTTTTTACCTGAACTCTTGCTCAGCGCTGGTTGGCTAGAGCTAAAGAGCACCTGAAGACATACCTGCAGGAGCAGCAAAGCCGAGGTGCAGGAAGGAGAAAACCATCAGTCACCTCCTTTAGAAAGACCATGTCATCCAGTGATGTGTCCAGGTACCTGCTGTCAGTCCTCAGACGTTTTAAATCCCTTTGTTTTGAAACATAAATATATCTGTTTAAATTTGTTTTTGTTTAGGCACATGAATACAATCGAGCTCCAGCTGGAGGTGACCCGTTTCCTGCATCGCTGTGAGACGGCGTCGTCCTCCGGTGCCCCGGCGGCCATCAAACCGCACTCTAAGTCTTCCAATTCACCACCAACACTGTTTGGTGGAAGCCCTATGAAGATTGAGGTCGCCTGCAAGGTAAAGCCAGATGTGATTCACGCATCTACTGTAAGGTGAAAAAAATATGTTTATTAAATCATTGCTTGTTTTGTACTTGTTGTTTTGCAGGTGATGCTTGGAGGAAAAAACATTGAAGAAGGGTTTGGCATTGCTTACAGAGTCATACAGGTATGGTTTTATAAGAGCTGAGGACGTAGCTTAATTTTTACTTGATGTTTTTTTTAATCTTTGTTCAGTTTCACCCTTTCTTTTTCTCTTATGTTCTCTTAGGACTTTCAGCTGGAGGCCCAGGCCGTCTACACCCGAGCAGGTCACAGACTTGTCCGACAGAGGCAGTATGGAGCTGTGAAGCAGCTCCTGAAATGCGTCTGCGAGTCAGGCACGGCCACCAGGCATGACTGCGACGCCCTCATCCTCAGCTGTGTCTCTATTGCAGATAAGGGACCTGCAGATGTAAGTATCAGGAAATAAAGGAAGCAAAATTTGAAATGTAAGAAAAGAAAACAATTTTCCTATTGGAATAGGATGATTTATGTTTAAAATACAAAACAAATAACTATTATTTTAGTATAAGTCCATAATATCTACTGATATCCCATCTCATTCCATTGACATGTTTTACATTTCAGGACAAACTGACATGTTCGGATTGCTTTTTATGTTTTGGTTTAGGCCAAGGAACTGGAAACCCTCATCTTGGAGATAAAGAGCACAGAAACAAAGGTAGACTGATACTGACTCTGCCATGATTTATCCTTCACATTCAGTCATATTAAATTCAAAAACTCAACAGAAAAGCTGTTCAATTGTGATGGAACCATTCAGGACTCTTTTTTGTTTTGTGTGCAGATCAAAGCCTACCTGCTGTGCAGTAAACTGAGGCCAGCGTACCTGCTGGCTGTAAAGCTTGACCCTGGCCGGGCGGGCCCATTGGTCCAGGACGTCCTGCAAGCAGCTGAAGGAGCACAGGACTCTGTGATGCAGAACATCTGTCGCCAGTGGCTCTCCGAACATAGCAAGTCCCCTCAGCAACGCCAGAGCCGGCCCACTGCAAGGTAAGGGGCATAGCTCGAGTAGCAACAGAAAACTGGACTTGAAGAGAAAGGAGCCTCTGAAGAAGTTCAGGTGAATTAACACAGTATTGGACAATAAAGGATTTGCACACTTTGCGTTTGAAACACAGCAACAGTATCCCCCTACCTGCTTATTTCTATCTCCAAAAAGTGGAAAACTGCTGCAGTTATGCCTTAAAACCAATTCTCCACCACCACCAACCACAGCTGTGAAGAATCCACCCAAAGATATTGGTACACTGTGATCAGAGAACCTGATACAGTCCTAATCTGCAAGTTTTCCCCGGAGCTAAATATGAAAGTTTTCCCCGGAGCTAAATATGAAAATTGCACAAAGTGCAAAGACTCTATTTAAAACCCTGACGCTGCATCAGCTGAACTCATTGCCACTTGATGACTTGGGCTTCCACAGACAACATGGTGTAGATTTGTGTTAAACAGGAAGAACTTTCATTTAAAATAACCCGAGTTTCCCTGCAACCCAAAGAGAACCCGTCTGTGCATCAGGTTGACATTATGCAGTCCTTTTCCTTTCTAACACCAACATAACTGACACAGATTTCTGACTTTGTCTCTTTTGTTTAATTTACTGACAATTCACACATAATCGTAGCAACTTTTTTTTAGATAACTAAAACAACCCAGTTTTATTTCACAAAAGCGTCTGCTAGTGAGTTAGCAAAAACATCACACTGACTCAAAGTTTAAGAGGTCATTAGTATAGACCCTGCTTTCACTGAAGTCCATCCTTCGCAAAAGCTGTGAATCACCACTGTGCTTTATGGCAGTTTTGGAAAGACGTCACCACTTTACAGCATAAAAAAGGAAAAAATAAAAAGCACTATGAGGGTACCGAACTAAAACACACACTAATTTATGTTGATGTGTTTGTCTTCTACCTCAGCCTAAAGGGAAAAGACTCCTCTGATAAATGTTACCTGTTTATTGCCCTTATTGTCTCTGCTTTGTTTTTCTTTTTATTATAATGTTTTTGGTAAAAGTGTTACAAACCCAACAACCAACTTTGCTTTTTTTGACGTTTCTATCCCAGTGTTTACCTGTACAGAACATGTTTAAACCAATTTTCAGTACATTTATAAAGGAAAATGCAGGTATTTGATGAAGCTATTAGGTTATAAGGAGTTAATATACCTGTAGCAGATCCCACTCCCCATTTAGATTGATGTGGAGGTGAAGGTTAACCTGGGGGCAAATTATACCATTTTAAAACATCTTCATCTCCAAAACCTTGTAGTAAAACAATGTTTTATAAACCTTTAAACTCTTTCCAGGTTTGTATTTAAACTTTTGTTTACATAGGCAGGAAGTGGTGCATCATCCATGATCTTCCTCTTGGAAACATACACTAAAACAGAGAATGTAGTTTTTTTTTTCCCCATTCAAAATAACCAACTAATGTAGAAGTAAACATATGTAAAAAGTAAAAAATATAAACAGTATTTTTTATTTTTATTTGTTTTTATGTTGACTTTGATTATAAATGCTTTGATTTTTACTCACTGTTTCGAACAGGAAGATAAATTGTGATGCACCGCCTCGAACAACTCTCAACATCACTGTTTTTCACCACAAAATGTAAACATTAGTAGAGGTAAATGTTTCTAAAACAACATTAAAGGGATAGCTCAACTTTCTTAGTTNGACACATCTGGAGATGTAGGGTACTAACTGCTTATAACCTCTTACCAGGACCCCACTTAAAAAATAAATCTCTAATTCTAACATTTCAGGGCATTTAAGGTTTTATTAATTGAACGTATAAATTTCAGGTGGGATGCAAAAAGGGATCCACTTTTTTTTATGAGATCAGAAATGTTCCTGCTCATTTTAAGTCATTGTGTTTTCTTTGTCCTCACTGGAAACACTGTCAGGGTCTGTCTGTAAAATCTGTTAATAATGTGATGTAAAAATTCCAAAACAAAGTCATTAATCTGAATTTAAACCTATATCTCTGCTGCTACCTTTCCAGCTATGACTTCCAAGCACTTGGCTAGATGGGGACATTTTAGTTGCCTCTTTGCCTTGTGTCTCTGCTGCACTAAGCAGATCTGATGACAGATCTTCCTGTGATTATTATTGAACTAATGAAAGCATTTTTAGAAGTGAAATCCACCCTAACCTTGAATTACTTTAACTGTTGTGTCCCATCACTGCCGCACTTTATATCTTTAAAATTATTCGGGAAAATTGTAATGCATATAATCCAGCAACTGCTAAAAAAAATGCAGGGATAAATGATTTTGAAATGTTTGTCAATTGTAAAAATAAAACTAAAATGATCGATACCAAGATATTTCTGGTGTTTGTGTCTTTTAATTCATAGGAGAATTTAAAGATGCCACACACTCAAGACTAAATAAAATATTTTAACTCCAATTTATTTCCAAATTTGCCATTGGGTTATATTTCCATGGATTAAATTTCAGATTGTTACCAGGGGCTGCTGTAGCTTTCTGGGTGCTCAGAGTTGTGAGCCTCTCACCATTCAACAACTTTTCAAAAATTATCCAAATGGCTAAGGTGTCATACTAACACAAATATGGAAGATTTTTCCTGCTGTCGTTCTATAAGCAGCAAAGGTTGCTAGGCGACAATCCGACTCAAGTCCAAGAGCGAAAAAAATCAATAAGCAGAGCCGAAAGGTTTGCGTGTGAGAAGAAGGAAGTTAACTAGAGGAGAAATATCTGTACAGAAAGCATTCGATATGAGAGGAGAAACGGATTTGATGGAGAAGGGAATATATCTGAGAGAAAGCAGAATTATTAAATGTGAGCATTACAAGTTTTGAATGCAAGTAGAGGAAATCCTGCTCACAAAAAGAAAATGTGTGCTCTTGGTTCTTGGTAGGAAAAAATCCTCCGTGCACAGGTTCCTATTCCAGCAGCGTGATCCTGGATGAATGAAGGCAATGGACTATATGCCCAACTCCACCTCTTTCTGAATCTCAGCCAGCTTATTTGTTTCCTGTCTTTCATTACTGGACAAACTTATTAATCCAGGTATTTCTGGCTAATGTTGTCATGGTTACTGAGGTCAGACACACCTGGATTAACAGTTTGTCCAGTAATGAAAGAAAGGAAACGAAGAGGCTGGCTGAAGTTCAAGAACTAGTGGAGTTTGGCATTGCGGAATCAGGGTTTTATGTTTTTGCAATGTGAAAGCGACCCGTCGCATGTATGGAACCAACTTTTCTGCATGAGATGCCACAAAAGCAAAGACAGAAAAACCTTCGTTGTAATGTTTCAGTTTATTTACATAAAATGTAAACATTCAACTCTTACTATGAATGTTGTTTTAGTAAAAGGCATGTCCGACTTGTATAAAACACAGAATGTAAACTCTAGGCAGCTATGCATGGGAATGCTAAGAAAGAAAAGGTGAGATCTTTGAACAGCTGTGCTTCCAGCCGGTAAACTACAAAAGGAAACCTCTGGAGACACACGGACAGAACATTAATGTCATTCAGCTCTCAAATATGGCTCACACTTGCTCTGATAAATGGTAGAATATATTCCCTGCTTCAAAGTTTTTAAATTTTTAAGAAAGTTGGCACAATAGTTAAATAGTTTAACTGCAAATTCTGAAGAAATTAACAATATAAAATGTTAAATAAAAGAATGCTGGTCTTTTACCCTGCATTGACACCTAGTTGTATGTCATGGCATTAGAAAAAGATCAAGTTTAAGTTTTTGCGTTACTGTGTTCACATTATGCTATGAAAATAGTCTTAAAATATGAACTGTTGATAAAGTTGACTGGTTCAAATTTAAGGAGCTGCAGCAGAGCACCGAAATAACAAACTTATTGCGTCTTAATGCACAAAAAAAAAATCACATTGTTTTACACAATAAAGAAAAGGCTAAAAACCGAAAGGAAACAAATTAAATGAGTGAGAACAGAAGTGCGATGGACTCCAAGGAAGCCTGAGAAATGCGAGCAGTACAGAGGGGACTCAATCCCAGTCGATGCCAAGAAGCTCACAGCTGACGTCCCACAGTTTGCTGGCCGTCTCCTTGCTCCTTCCCTGGGGAGCAACGAAGGCGGGGGTGCAGTCACTGAAACCAGAGGAGGAGAAAAGGACCGGTTATTATGTAAGAGCTAAAAACTAGCTTCTGTTACCTTGTTCATTGTCTTTGTAAACCACTTAAATATAGGTAAAGAACGTCCTGAAGATCACTGATCTGAGCAGAATGGTGCAAACAGGACTTTTTATTCTGACATAAAAATCTAAACTGTTCATGTGCATCCTAAAACTCTGATTACCACATTAGTTTAACAAATAATCCATCTGATAAAACTAATTTTAGCTTTCTTGTTTTATTCTCTTTGGTACTATATATATATATGTATATATATATACACACACTCTTTTTATATTGTCTGTTGTATTTTTATCTTTAATGCTTTCACTCTGCCCTTTGTGCTCTATATAACCTACTGGAACCAGAATTTCCCTGAAGGAGTAATACCAAGGGATAAATTAAGTTGAGTCTAAGTCCAAGTCTAATTCTTTATGATGATGTGTGTCATTTAATTTGGATTCAGCCTAATGAGGAGAATATAGTTTGAAATGTTACACGTTTGTAAAAGAACATGAGAGCTCTGAATAAACTTTTTTATATGCGAGATGGAAATTTTTTTTGTTAAACTGTAATTAGCTCCATATCATCTAACTTTGATGGCTTTCTGTTTGATTTTCCAACTGGCACTGGAACTTTTAGCCACTAGGGGCGCTAGACCAATAATGTCCTGATTTGGAGCCTCTAAGAGCAGCTGTATGGAAGCAAATCGTTACCATATTTCAAATGAAAAATCATTTCCAGAAATACTTTTTTCATTTTAAGAATGTGGCTGCATTGTTTGACTAATAAATTAAATTAGTAATCAATAATCCTGTTTGCATTTTCTTCTTTAACACTGCTCATCCTTTTACTTAATTAAAATGAAAAAAAAAAAAGACATTACTTTTCAAAATGTACCCCAACAAATAAGTCTGCACAGCGCATTAAATACACACCAAGTTCTGTTTACTGATAGAAAAAATAATTTAGAGCAGCAATAAGTAACATTGCTGCCTTAATATATCCTCTTCTAAGCCCCTGTGATGGTAATCTAAGGGTTGATGAGACAATTGAGGGTTCTGTCATCTCCCCCTTCCATCTCTGGTTGGAAAACCAAACTTTCTGTCTAATGACCCTAATGGTGGTCTGATGATTGATTTTATTCCTCTTACAGTGGATACATTTACTTGTTACATCAGCTCAACTAGTCAAAGAAGGAGAATGTGCCAAAGGAAGAAAAAGGTGCATGGGATATATACAGTATATACACTGTGTCCTCATATGAGCTTTTTTCATACATAATTATATATATATATATATATATATATATATATATTTTTTTTTTTAGGTTGATGACATGGAGGAGCCAGCAAAAGAAGGGTTGTAGCTGTGACTACTATTTTCAAAATGCCCTATATGGGGAGCACAACTAAAAAAATACTCGGTGCTACTTTAACATATTTCAAACTAAGCTCATAATTGGATCAATAATTGCCCATTGTTGCTTGAAACAGAAAATATGTTGTTTTTAACATTTTTACCACAGCTCATCCTTAACCTTCAAGCTAGCTACCTGAAAAGACAGCCCGACTAATTAACCCAACAAGTAGAGGGTTTTATACCAATCCAAACAACTAAAAGTATTTATTTCCCATCTATATTATTAAACAGTAAATTATGTTTTCAGATGATCCACAGTTGAATGTCTTCCTCAGTGGTACCAAACATCAAAAGTCCAAATAGGTGGTTTATTTCTGCAATATGCTTAAAGATATCTGTTTACTCTCACTTCCTGGTATAAGTCAGGACTAATATGGTCCCGGATGGAGAGAGCAGACTCATTAATGAAAAAAACAAACAAATCTTAATTATATTACATTTTTAAAATGACTCGGTCAGGCTTATTAACTAAATTAAAAACTGTTTAGATGTTTTAAATTAGTTTTTTTTATTTTATTGTTTAAATAGTTAAACCTTACTATTAGAAGGATTTTATGCATTGATTCCTTTTTAGAGACTGTATGGAAATGATTCACCCCCCTGAACACAATTCCTTAGACATGCCTGATGCGATGAGTCAAGGGCTTCATCAGTTGCATCAGGTGGGCTTAAAATTAAAACATCTACAGAGATTTCTGGAGCCCATTATAACTTAAATCACAGCTTTTTAATGACTCAATGCCAAGTTTTAAAATTCCATATTAATATCAAGAAAAGCTCTTAAATGTAAAATAAACTGGACTTTAGCTTAGCTGCGGTTCTGATGCACAGAGAATTTTCTCTATCTTTAGTTTCTCATCAGACACTGATTAAGAAGCTGCATTCTTTAATAATAAAGGAGATGTGAACATTTTACTAAAAGGCTTTTATGGTATTATGTGGACATTTCTGTGCATCTGCTTCACTTTATAAATGATTTATTAAGAACGCAGCAGAATACGATCCCACTGGTATTTTCTTTTTAAATTTTGATTTAGTCGACTTTGTTTCTTAGCCTTTTCTTTTTTACCTGAAGTGTTTCCCAGATACTGAGTGCAGCTCCTCTGCTACAGCACAGTAAATGCTGGTCTGAGCTCCTTCCTGAGGCGTTTTCAGGAACATGGAGAAGACTGTGAACAGAATCATCATGAGGGTCGAGTGTCTGGTCAGGTCTGAGTTCACCGTGCCGGGATGGACCGAGTTCACAGTCACACCGGTCCCTAAGAAAGCAAAATGACCACAGCAGAGATCTTTATATTAATCATAGTCAAAGACCTGAGCATGCTCTGTTTATACTACCTTAATGAGAATTGAAAATATATAAATAGGCACTAAAATTACACAATTTCAATAACTTATATTAATTATATGTTTACCTTTACAAATATTTTCCCCATAGAAAGAAAAGCCATAAATGTTCAAAGTGGCTGACTTCTACCCCTTACATTTAGCTTTTTAATATCTTCTTATGTTTTAATAAAATTCACGTTAAGTTTGATAAGCTTTGGATCTGGTAGTTGTGCTAAAAGATAATCAAGTTGCATTACTTTTTCCAACTGATCCACACTAAATGAAAACAATTGACTTTTTTTTTTTTTTTTTTTACTGTGACTTTTAAATAACAGAGAAAGGACTCTGAATTATCTCCCTATCTGACCCAACTGTAAACATCAGGAACTAACCTCCCATACAGGAGAAGTAGGCAATCACCTGTAGCCCCCCCAGGCTTTTTGTTAAAACAGATTTTTTTTAATTACTATTCAAATGTTTATACTTTTAAGTGTTTTTGCTGCATTTATTGCCACATTCTTTTTTTTCTGTTCCTAACAGCAGATCATCTGTCCACTCTCCCATGTGTTGTTTGGTTTTTTGTTAACTGTGGTGTGTACCTTTTAGCCTGTGGGCCAGTTCTCTGGCAAAGAGCACATTGGCCAGTTTGCTCTGGCAGTATGCTAATCCGCTGTTGTAGCTGCCCTGACTGTGAAGGTCATGGAAACGGATCCAGCCAAAGTTGTGAGCCAGAGATGAGACCACCACAATGCGGGCCGGTGCGCTGCGCCTCAGCAATCCGATCAGGAGGTACGTCAGCAGGAAGTGACCTGGCAAAACACGAGACCCATACCAACAACAGGTGTTGATTCCTAACAGTTCACATCTCCATCGTTGGTTTGAATGTTGAAGCACTGCTTTGTTGCTAAATTATGATGAGGGAAAGGATAAGGCAGAACTAGGAAAATAGAGTGGAAAAGAAAAACTAGGTTTACAATAATTTAATCAAAATTGACTAAGAACCTCCAGCAGGGCTTCATCAGATGGATACGGCCCATTTCAGACCAGCCGCTGAGCCAACTGCACTTGTACAGGTGGAATTAGATTAACCCAAGCTGAAGTTCCTACATAACCTGAATGCTAATATTCTATAAGGTAAAGCCAACTACCTATTCACCATTCAAGGCAAGAGGTTGGGGTTTACTTTAATAAAAATCAACAGGGTCAGAATAAGTAGCAAAGCTTCTTTTAACTTGAAACCCCAGCACTTAAAGAAAAAGAGGGGAAAGTTCCTTTTTTGAGCCTTTAGCAGTGTTGGCATCATGATGTGAAAATAACCAGATCCTTTGTTCAGTAAAAAAAAAAAAAAATCAAAGCAGTTATTCTTTAAGTGCTAAAATACATTAAAATGTAATTTAAATCATCAGAATGCTGCAGTCAATCCACTTATACTGACAAAAAAAATCACAAAAAAAGTGGTGCTGAATAAACCAGGAGTGCATAACATATCTACTGGTGCTAGTAAGACCTAGTCAGGGCAAAAATAGGCCTCACTCTTCTCTTCCATATCTTCTTTGCTGATTCTGAGCATACAGCTCTGGATGATTTAAATGTGATAAAAAAAAATAAAATAAAAATCCAGTTACAGCAACTTTTATGGACAAATTTACCTTTAATTTGTTCACTAATATATGAACTTAACTCATAGATTTTAGAAAGAGTTGAACTGACAGTAAAGCATACATACCATTTTATGTTTACAATAACTTAAATACTACATATGAACCTGTAAATGTGTTTAATAGCGACGCCAATTTTAATATCAGTGTAACTGATATCTGATATGCTTTTCTCTTCTTCCACTTACACATAAAAAATGAAACAATAATTACAAAAGCCACACAAGTCCAAATTTAAAAAAGTAATAAAAAACATGTCTTCAATAAAACAAAACATTAAAAATAGACGGCAAATGGAGGGAGTGACAACGGATGCATTTCGTGTTATGGCAGTTAAATGCAATAATGAATTAAATGAATGCATGTATCGTCCATTGACAATGCAAGAAAAAAATATTTTATATGTCTTAGGCCTCACAAGTCAACATCTTTTCCTGCACAGGAATTGGGCTAACATGCTCAGCTGGGAACAACAGACCGTGTTGTAAAATGTTTTATTCATCATTTTGTGCAGGATTAATAAAAATAACTTCATAACAGGAACGAACGGCTGGGAGGAGGACATGAACGAGTTTTTGATGAAAAGATGTGTTTGGAAAGCTCTCATGAATAGAATAAAAGCATTTAGGATCTTACTATTCAACTTGAATAGACAAAAAAAGCGTTCTATTCGCTTTTTTATTTTTCTGAGTTTAAAAGTAACTTTTGTCAGAATGAAAAGAAATTCAGATTTAGGTTTTTGTAAATATCCAAAAATACTTTGATCTCTTCATTCTTCACTTTGACTACTTTTAGAAATATTAAATCCAAACATAATTACTGTAAACCTTTTTAATTAATAAAAATATATTTATTATTACAAAACAAATCCTATGAACACTTTATCCAGATCAAAAATATAGGTGTAGTCTGCATATTTTCTTCAAAGAAGGGAGACAGAAGGATTTATTTAACCCCTTAGCTCCCATCCCTCCTGGGAGGAGCTGAAAGCCACACCTCCTGTGCCTGTTGACTGACACTACCTTTCAAAATAATATGCTAATTTGTTACTGCAATGGGCTCATGTCTGATTCTTTAGCTGTGGAGGTCAGAGGAAGGACTAAACTAAGATAATGCACTACTGTCTGGATCACAGTATTACAGTGTGAAAACTGTAGCAGACCATTAGAAAGACTCACACTTAGGGACAACTGGAACTTAAAACATAGACAGAAATAAACAATTATTATGGAAGACTTTCAGGCAAGTAAAAAGTTAATATTAGGGATGCAGGTTACTAATTAATAAATTAATCGTAAGTTGAATGATGTTAATACTAATTAATTGATAAGAAGCCATTTATTTTTAGGAACATTACCTTTCCATATAATGGAGGGGTAAATATTATTTTTACAATATGCTGACTAAAAATACATTATTTATTATATTTTAACTATTTATATACTTAAAAAAAGTTTCCTTGCACAATAACAAAACAGGAATCTATTAGGTTGGGGAAAAAAAGATCAATAAAATAAATGAAACGCAATTCCCAAGGTGCAAAGATGTAAAACTATATTACAGGGTTTGTCGCTCTGATCTACTGTCAGACTATAGCCCCTTTTACACTACCCTTTTGAAACCATAGCGAAATCGGTCTGAGCATGATAACCCAGATAACTTGTGTGTAAATGGCACGCAAAACTGAACCGGACCGTACAAGACACAACCGAACTGTGCTAAACTGGTACTAGTTCATGGGTAGGGCTCGGTTCAGTTCTGGCTCAGTTCTCAGACACCAAAGAGCGCAGGAGTCAGCCTCCGTAATCATGAAATTTCAGACAGTCATAAAAATCTAGCTTCCCTACCATGCCACACGATTACAAGTGATGATTCTGCTTAGCAGAGTGATGAACCTCAACTCCTGTCTTTGTTTCCTGTGTCTGTGAGCCCCATATCCACTTCCCAAAAGCCGACTCTGTCAAGTAAATTCACCAAAGGCTGCCTTCCTTGCCTGACCCTCCACAAACAACGTAATACTGCATCATAATGATAACAAAACATAACTTCCTGAATGATACGGGCACATGTTGGTTTGCTTGTTTACCTCTAGAGAGCAGTAGTACCGTAGATCTCCACTAGGAGGCGAGGAGCCATGCTAGTGGGGTGTATAAGCGATCATAAGAAACCAAGCTCAGCACAGTTAACTTATCTAATGAAGTGGATGCTAACAGTGATATAGCTCTGTGTTTAGCATTATCCCATATTTAGTGCTGGGAGAGAGTTTGTGCTATTAGCAGTACTTTTAAATGGGTTGTTCAGAGGAATGGTAAAACTTGCCGCTATGAAGAGCATTCGCTCACAAAACTCTTTTTCAAACTTACATGCTTTTTGCTAGCATATCTTTTTCATGTGAAAAACATTTGTAACGCCCTCCATCTTTTTATCATCAAATCCCAAATTTTCTAGCACAACAGAAAAGTCATGCTGCTCCGCCACACAGCATGGCTAAATGTGAGCTATTTAGGTAATAATTTCAGGAGTTTATCAACTTTTCATATTTACAAACAGAACCGACTAAAGTTAATTTTACATCTTTGTAAACCATTAAACAGGATAAAGAATCCCGAACTAGACTGGATTGATTCACGTTTCTGCTCAAGCGTTAATATGCTACAGTTTTTCTTCTGTTGCAATACCAGTAAGCCTATAGTAAAGAATGAACAGCAGCGCCCTCTAGTGAATGGCAGTACCACTACAACACTTAAAGAAATTCCTTTCAAGCTGATGTTATCATTAAAACAGATGGAACACATTTTAATCTAATAAACCATTAATCAACAACTAATTTTAATTTCATTATTCTTTTAAATCCCTAGTTAATGTCTTAATTCAATGAAAATAACTAGAAATGCATCGATCAGAGTTACTGGCCTATTTCTAAACTCCATTTTGGCCAATTTGGATTTCTTGATAATCAGTAAAAAAAATAAGACATCATACAATCATTTAAATACTATCACAGCTTGTTTTTTTTTTTTTTCATGTTTTAAAGATACTTGGCTTGCTTAGAAAAGGCTGCTTTTGTTTGAAAACATCAAAAAAAGAAAAATTCAACAGCTCTCTGCTCAAAATCGAACAAACTCTCCTTAAAAAGATGTTGAGATGCCAACAAAAACATTTTTACAAATCTTTTTTAGGGCAGAAGGACCTACCTAAATGGTTAACTCCAATATGCATCTCAAAGCCATCCATGGTTTTGGTGTACGGGCACATCATCACTCCAGCATTGTTGATGAGTATATGGAGATGGTTGACCTCTGTTTGAAACAAAGCATGTGTAAATGACAGTAAATTCAAACTGGTTGTGAACTGTGAGACCCACTGATTCACTCGCCTCTCAGGAGTTTCTGTGCAAATGCTCGTATGGAGCAGGTGTCTGCCAAATCGAGCTCTCGTACTTCCACCTTGGCTTCAGGATACGCCGCTCGTATGCTGGCAGCCGCCTCCTCGCCCTTTTCAACGTCTCGGCACGCCATAATCACACGAGCGCCTGAGATGTTAACAGAAGAATAAGAACTAAATTTTAAGAAAAGGAATCAGATTTACTATCCAGCCTTAAAAGGGGAGGGGATTAGGGAAAACGAAACTTAAACTGAAATCATATATATTTGGTAGCCTAGTCAATGACCACCAACCCTCCCTACAGCTGAACATGACAAGCTGTTCAAAATCTAATCCAGGGCATAAAGCTAACTGGTATAAACTAGCTGCCTGGCTTGAATACATGCTGTTACATAAGAAACACAGCTGGTTTCCAATATGCCGACATAATAGGAAAGAAACGTGAAATTAGCAAACATAACTGGTCTACAAAGACACGTCCGTGTATCTATAGTGACATACCAGGCAAAGAAAGCATGAATTTAGAAAGAGCTGCAGGGATCCTCAGCCCAGGCCAGAGAATCTGTTAATACAGGAGCTATTATTCAATGGCAAGAAAACTATCATTGAAAGGAAGCTATAGGAAATACTGTTCACAAATGTAGCGGACAGTAGGAGATGAGTGAAGATAAAAAAAAAAACACATCTGTGGAGGAAAAGGTGTTGTAGCTGCTTCTAGATCATCAATAAATATCCATCCCCATTTCTGACTTGTGATAAACTAAAAGGCCTCAACAGAGAAAAAAAGGGATTTAAAGGTATCGTGGAGGATGTTCTTTTTCCGGGTGGATCATCAAAATAAAAAATGTTGGAGTGCGGTTTGTAAAACTAATTTTTGTGTGTGTGCAACATTTAAGGACAGTTTAAAAAAAAAAGTTTTGTGTATGACATTAGAGGAGAGTTTCTAACACAGGTTTTATTTGGGAACAATAAGATTTATATGAGTGCAACATGTTTATTTGGGAGTGATCAGATTTGTTTGTGTGAAACATGCTTTATGCATTTGCAACATGCATTTTTGTACACAACGTTTTGGCAGAAAAGTCACTCCATATCAGAAGGAGCCAGCAGCAGAAGCTAAGACGTGTGAGAAAAGACAGCCCTTGTCGCTTACGTGTCTTCATTAAACAAAGCCTTCTCCTATCATCTAAAAGTACAAACTGATCAGAAATGCATAGTAGTGTATATTATCCAAAGTTATGGACTATAAAGGGCTTTGAAGCATGCACATGGTTTAAAATGACCCAGTCTATTTACTATGACTAATGTGCAAGGAGATTCAATTATAATAGTTCAGAAGATAAAATAGTGGTTCTTATGTGACAAAATATTGCATTTCTACTTTTCCCAATGATGGCAATGCCAACCTCGCATTGCCAGGTCCAGGGCAGTCTCCTTCCCAATTCCTGAGTTGGCCCCAGTGATGAGCACCGTCTTCCCATCCAGACGAGCCGTGGATCTGCAAACAGCTCCTGCTGCATATCTTCTGTGTAGACAGAGACAGTTGGGTAAGATAATGCAGACAGAGCAATTTAATTTAAAGCACTAATTAAGTCCATGTTCCTCCATCCTAACCTCATTAGGACTGAACATTTAAGCTCGCAGGGTTAATTATTTATAGGAAAACATGGCATAAGCGTGACCCACGCCACCGTGCAGGACCGCCTCATAACCAATAGTGCGATGAAGTTATGCATGCAAATATAGCCCCTCCCACGCTCTGCCTCCTGATTGGCAGAGCCGCTCAGACGGAAGACCGCCGGATCATTTACGTGCAAATACTCAAAGGCTCCATCAATTTGTTTTATTGATTTCCACATTCCTTCGTTATGTACTAAACTTAGAAACGCATCCATAAAAAAAATGCGACTGGAATACAACTCTGCCATAGAAATAAGCTAAAAGGTTGATATTATCTTTGCAAATGGGCAATGTGGTACCAATTAAAGCAATATCTGATGATCCAAAGCATAATCGGCCCGATATGTGGATTCATACCAGAATATAACTACTTACCGTATATGTGGAGCGAATAAAATCACCAACAGCGTCACCACCCCGAGCCCCAGGATTATTAATAAGACGAACATATCTACCAGGATGTCTCTTCCAGAAAGATGCGGATGAGGTGTGTAGGCAGCAGAACAGCTGATGTCAAAGCAGAACGGGGCGCAAGGCACATAAGGGTGGGAGGGGGGGCAGACTTGCAGTTCGAATGGAATCATGGGATTGTAGTTTTTAAGGTCAACCCCAAAAATACATCATGGCCCTATGTATTTATCATAACAGGAGATAATAAAACGGGGTGGAGGTAAAAGGCATAACATGAAGAAAACTTATATAGAAATACAGGGGAAAAATGACTTATTGACTAAATAAAATCAATTCAAAGGGAAAAAAACTTTGCACCTATGTTAATATTAAAATAAAAGCCTGTCAATTTTTAATAATATTTATTGTAAGAAACATAAAACGTTATTCGTTTTTTAAATATTTTTTTTGGAATTTAGAGGATGTCTGTACCAAGACAAAGGGTTAAATTAAAAAAATAACTACGGCCTTTTATGTTTTATTAGTGGCGATCGCATTAATAAATTGTTATTATAATATCGATTAAAAATGGAGGTTTCGGTGTTTCATCTTTAGATCATTTCAAAATGTAATTATCCTATTTATTTTAAATAAGTAATGTTAAGATGTAGGCTAAATTCCTTTAAGCGCACATATTTAAAAAAAAAACTACATTTCCTGGAGAATTCCAATAAGCTCTCCACGATAATGCCTGTTTAAAACTATGGCATCAGCGCTTTCTTAGTGGTATTCAGAAACATTTGATAATGAATATATGCATCAATTTACCTTTAAGATAAGAATCTAAATGCATTCAAATTCCATATACATCTAAAGAACATTTAAATTTTTTAATAGAAGTTTAAGGCGCTAAAAGACACGAGAGCCTTCATGCGGAAGTCTCGGGGTTCTTATTATCGCCAAAGCAGAACTAGCATATTTCCCTAAACTTCTAAACCTAATTGTTATTTTTCTCTTTGAAAAAAGAAAATAGTTTATTGATTCTGACAGCCTACTGATTAGTTGAATATGTCGTCGGAGGAATTTGAGAAGTTGCACGAGATGTACAGGTCGCTGTATGATGAGCTGAAGCTAATACCAGACAGAGCCCTGAAAAGCCACGGAGGTAAACAGTGTGAACACCCTACATATGAGCAATAAAGGCAGTCTGTGCTGTGAATGATAAATCTGTGCTGTCTCAAATGCAGAGGAGAGGAAGAGGCTAGTGAGGACATTTGATGAGAGGCAGGGGGAGGCCGAGGAAGTGGTGAGTTACTCAGTTTGTTTACTTTTTAAATCTTCAACTCGGAACAAAAAAATAATAATTTAACAGTTAGGAAACTCGTCTTTATTATTGTTTTTTTTTTCTCAGAAAAAATTGTATTTTATGACAATCGATCAGGTTACAATCTATAACTTTAACGTATTTCATGAGATTTAAATTGATAGAAAAACTCAAAGTAAAGTAGAGAGACTGGAAGCATTGTTTTCAAAATCTTTCCATTCGCCTTATAAATTTGGCTCAAGCCCAGCCAAACTGGATCCTGCTTCCCACAATGTTTTAACTGGATTATAGTCAGAACTTTGTCAAGGCCATATGTATATACAAATAGAGCTTGATCAAAGTCATAGTTTCATGAGGAACCTCCCAAGTCTTAAGTCCTTTATGTCCACCAAGAGTTTTTCTCCCAGGATGGCGCTGTGTTGGAGCCAATTTCATCCACAGCAAACAACTATGTTGGAGCTCTGTATTCTTTATTTCTTCATTCATTTGAATTGTTAATTTCTAAATGTATATTTTTGCGTTATTTACAAAGTTTATTTGCAGGTTAATAATTGTTTTTATTTATCTTTGTTTTATTATTTATCTTATTTATTTATTTGTTTATTTTAATGGTTGAGGTAAGACGGGAAGTGATGTGGATCAGTCCACTTTCTATAAGTGTAGGGGCCAGGGAAAGGACCAGCAGGCAGTTTGGGTTCTATGGTTTTTACCAGTGCAAAAGAGGTTAGAATAAAGAAAAGTTTTTACTCGTTAATTGTTGGTAAAAATAGAAAATAAACCATCCAGAACCATCATCAAGACTGGACATTGAAACTTCTTCTGCCTGCGTATAGAAACTTGACCCCAGTGCCTTATTAGTGGCTTAATTGGAACTGTAATTGAATGTTTGGCCTGGCACACAATCACAACTACATATTTGCATGTAATATTTTTGGGAAAATTATGTTTCCTGTTCCAAACATAAAGGTTTATTTGTATTTCACCATTCTTTTGTTAACATATAAATGTTAACAAACAATATCCTAAAGTCTCCTGAGAGGGATGGGACTAATATAAGGATGAATTAAGGAAAAGTAAGTGGTTTGGAAAATATGCGTTCAGTGCAACATTTTCACATTATTCTCACATTTTAGACTAAATTTGGATTAATCCATATTTCTTCCACCATCGTTGCATTTATATTGAGTTGGCTGGGTGGATATAAAAAAAAAAAAATATATATATATATATATATATATATGTTTTCAGGTTTTTAGTATAGAATGTATAGAAATGTATAGAAAACCTTGCTTCCTGTCTGTCCACCTAACAGTCATGCAGTACTTGGTGTTGATCTATCATATTAACCCTAGTAAAATGCAATGCTGTATACACACTTTACATGGGAATTTTGTAAAAAAGAAAAAACACCTTACCAAATAGTCTCCTAGGTTTAGTTCTTCTTCTTCGCTTCACCGTTTCTGGGAATCACTGTGTTTTCTATTCATCTGCAGTTACAAGGAATGGAAGAGGAGCTGCGTGGTGCCCCTCCTTCATACAGAAATGCAATGGGTGCCAAGCTGCGCCTTTACCGCAGAGATCTCGGCAAGTTGCAGAGGGACATGAAAAACTCTACACCTGGGTTCAGCACCTCCTCTCAAACAGTACAGGGAAGCCATCAGAGCGTTTATTCATCACAAAATCAACAAAGTGTGAGTAATAGGTAGAATACGTCCCATATTACTTTTGTAATCCTTTGATTCTGTCATTACTTTCTGTGTTGTTGTTTTTTAAGACTTTTCCCCAAAATTAAAGCAGGTATTTGATTATGTTACTTTTATCTACCTCTGCAGACACACTTGCAGTCCCAGAGAACTCTTCTACTCCAGGGAACAGAGTACCTGAACAATGCCAGCCAGAGTATTGAGCGCAGTCAGCGCATCGCTGCAGAGACGGATCAGATCGGCACAGATATCATTGAGGAGCTGGGGGAGCAGAGGGAGCAGCTGGACCGAACCAGAAACAGAGTGAGTTGAAACCATGCCGTTTGTGGGTGGCATTGAGCTGGTCTGTGGTGAAAATATTATGTGGCATCATTCACATTATAGCGGATGGTGGAACTTCTTGTGTTTTCTTTAAGTCTAGATTTATGCATGTTATATTAAATATTTTTTGTTTTGTTCTTGGTATAGCTTGAAAATACAGGAGAGAACCTGAGCAAAAGCAGAAAAGTTCTTCGTGCCATGTCACGACGGTGAGTATCACAAAATTAACATATAACGACACAACTGATTATAAACAATAAAGTTCTTAATCTAGATTTTTTTTTTCTTCATATTTAGTTCCCTCTTTTTTATACTGAAGAAAGTTTCCTGGAAATTAGAACAACTTGTCTGTGATGTCTTTTTTTCCCCCTTGGTATTAATAATTTGTGAAACAAGGGCCCATTTTTCTTTTTCGCTCTTCAAAGTGGGAAAGAGAAATGTACCTGCCATTCAGAAAGAGATGTGTTTTGATTTTTCAAAGTCAGAAAATGGCTGAAAATTTTTTTGACTTGTTTAATCCTGCACATACCGACAGTCAGAGCATTAAAAAAGAATAAAAAATGAACTTGAAACAAAACTCTTGCAATTAACAAACACAGGAGGCATGTTTGTAGGAGGTGTAATATAAGGAATATTTATTAAGTACGGTGGAGAGTCTGATTCTGTTGGTATATTTCTTTTTTAAAGGTCCTTTTAGAGGCTGTGGCATTATGGTAGACTCAACAAAATCAAAGTAAGGTTTTCATTGGGACTATTAAAAAGACAATTAGCAAAAATATATGTCCATACCTGCTTAGACATGGTTCTTCAGAAAAAGAGAGCTCTGTTCTATGGCCGTCAGTCGCCAGACCCACTTCTAGACAAAATTACTTACTTTAATAACTGCTAACTGTTGACATACATCTACCATGAATTCTAATACAGGTAGAGAGCTTTATGAAAGGGAAAAAAACAAACTAAAAATATATTTTTGAACTAATATCAATGCCCATTTTGATGATGATAATACAGTTTATAACTTAAAGGTGCTTCTTCATTATTACTGTAAAAGCTCTGTACTGAAACTTTACTGTGTCACTACCTGGATTTATCCCAGCAAACGGGTACAAGCCTCACATTGTATTATTACTTATGGGCCATTATGTTTCAGCTGGAAAAAACATTTACAACTAGGGCTGGGTAAAAAAATCGATTTAATCGTTTTTCTAATCGATTCCTTTACATTTTTGCAGAACCGATGTCTAGGGAATGAGATCGATTAGTTTTATAGTGACACACGTGATGTCCACAATCAAATAAGCAGGAACGATGCACTCCTTCAAGTCAGACAGCTGCAAGTATAGCCAAGAGGTTACTGAAGACATTAATAAATGGGGACTGACCAGCAAACACCCTGTAGTTGTTACAGACAACTCCGCAAATATGGTTTGTGCTGTGTCCCCGCTGTGTCACATCTGTTTGCTCGAGTGAGGCTTCACTTTTTCACTTTTCACAAACAAGTTTGTGATGTTCACATCTCAAGCTTAAACTGTCTGATTTACAAGTTTGCACTTTGTGTTTAATGTGACTGGAAAAAATAAAATACATGAGTATTTTGAAACACAGTTTAGCCACTTTTATTATTGTAAAAACAGATCAAAATTAATCGATTTAGAACTGTATGAATCAAAATCGAATCGATTCAGGACTTTGGCGAAAATACCCCGTCCTATTTACAACCCTGGCTCATGCAGTGAGTTGCTTCTCATTTCTTAAACAACCGTGTTGAACGACACATCCCGTGGAAAAGATGTCAGTTTGTTTCAGAGGGATGAAACCATTGGAAATCATATGTTAGGAACTGTCCAACACATTATTAGAAACCGTAAGGATGGTGGGGACCCATTGTCTTTGAATGAAAAAAAAAAATGTGGCTGAAAAAAATTTTTCTGAATAATTGTGGTCGGGGATCACATTCAGATTTAGTGAAATCAAGTTGAAGAAAAACGAAATCTGGGCTATATTCCATAATGAAAGTAAGATGATTTAAATACGCTTGGTGTAAGGAGAAATCAGCAGATTGGGACTGAACAGCTGTATAGTCTTAAGAAAACCACAGACCAGTGATGCTAACTGGTTTGGGCTGTGGAGCAATGGAAGGAGGTCAGCGGTCTGATGAGTCCAGATTGACTCTGTTCCAGAATGATGGGGACATCAGGGTTAGGAGAGGCAGGTGAAGCAAAGTACCCGCATGCCTAGTGCCAACTGTATAAGGCTGTGGGGTCATTGCTGCAGTTGGTCAGGTCTATGTTCAGCAACTGTATGTGCTCAAAGAACGAGGCATAATTTTCACACCTGGATTGACTATTCAAACTTTAACCCCATTGAGAATCTTTGGGATGTGTCATTGCAAGAGCCTAGTGAAGAATGAATGCAACACTGGGAAGAAAGTTTGCCGAAACAATTCAACAGCGAATACGTGTCGTAATCAAAGCTAAAGGCTTTCCAACAAATTATAGAAGTGTTTGGCTTTTTTTTTTTTTTTTTGGTCAGGCAGTATAAATTATAATACTGTTTTGTGCAGAATGACTAACTAAATAAGTTTAAACTAATGACAAAACTAGTATGTTTCCTTTCTCAGTCACTTTAATTTGTAATTGATTATTATATCAGTCTTACAATCAGTAATTTTCCAAATTTACTTTAATCCAAATGATGATAAAAAGTTAACTGTGATGCAATAAAAGAAAAATATAGTTATTTAACCAGTTAACTCGTTATGCGTCTGGAAATATATTCTGAGTGAAGCTAATTGTTTGGTTGTTTATTCTTTCCAAAGCACCAAACAATTTGAACATGGCATTGTTGTCCTCTCTTGGATCTGTTTTGGATGTGGTTGAATACTTAGAATACTGTAGATGTTCATTAATGTTGCAGCCAGAGTTTTTTATATTTCTTTTCTGTCTTGTAGGTTGATGACAAACAAGCTGTTGTTGGGTGTCATCATTTTAATGGAGCTAGCCATTCTGGGCGCTGTGATTTACCTGAAGTTCTTCCGAAAAAAATGAAGAAGCCATCATCTCCATACAGGGCGAGCTCTGAATCCAGAGCAAAGCCTTGGGGACTTTCTACCACTTTCCTTTTCAGCTATCCAGTGGCAATAATCCTCCTCTGTTGTTCCTGTCACTGCATTGATGCAGTGACCTTTTCTAGTATAGGGTTTATGTTCATGAGTTAGTGGGACAAGGATGGCAAATAACTGACGCTGTTAATGCACCAGAACCACAGAAATACTCTGAACTTGCATTTGAAATCTTTAAGCTGCTTGTTGATGCCTGTGATGTCCTGCACGATGATGATGAGGAGGAGGATGATCTGGACATGTAAGCCACAAATGATGAAAATGAATATTAACATAGAAACCATGAACTGACACCAGCTGAATCTGTTTTGTAGCATTGACCTGAATGTGAACTCTGGAAAGAAATCCTGCTTTATTCTTTGATCAAATACACATCTAATCACTGTACTCTCAGGAGCCCTTATTTAAAAGTATTAATGTTATTAAAACAGTTTGAGCTCAGATTGTGTTGCTTCAAATGTTTCCACTGGAAAGGTTTTTAAAAAAACACCCATTCTCTGTTGATTCACACTCTTGGACATCTCTGGGAGACGCAGCATTTGTTGCTATGGAATTTCTTCTCAAATACGCCTTGATAAGGCTATTTCTGGTGTTCCCTTAGTGAAGTGGCACATCTGTCAGACTGTTTTTATTCAGCCTTTCCGTCAAGTCTTCCTTCCTAGAAACACGCTGAAAAAATAAAAAAAAGCTTGTTTTTTTTTCTTTGAGAACATTTCAACTGAAAAAAATGTGTTTTTTGTTTTTTTTATTTCATTTATTTGCTGGACTAAATTTAATACATTTCCCTCAAGAATCACTCTTAAAATTAGTTTAAATCTTTAAAGTTCTGATGGGAACTTTTTCAATTTAACAATTGTTAGAAATAAATTCAAGGTATTGATGTATGTAGAGCGACGACTGACACAATGCAATAAATATATTCCTCGTGAAGCAGAAATGTTGAGGATACAGTAAAGGAAAACCAGATGGAAGTTGTCCTATTTTGCTCAGTGGGAAACAGCTGATAAAACGTCAGGATTTCTATGGAGACAAATCTAGTCCCGCCTCTTTGATGGATATTTGACAGTTTAAATTAATTGATGCTGTTTTAGGGACAGATTTATTTATAATTTTACATGCATAAATAGATTCTGTATTTTTTCCAGTTTTAATAAATTAATGACACATTTAATAATGTATTCTATTGTGGCATCCTTCACCCTCCATATTTATGTTGCACCATTGCATAATTCTTTCACTCCATATTTTGCTAATCATAGTTCTTAAAAATAATCTTTCTAGAGAATGGGGGGGAAACAATTTGAGGTATGAGGGAGTTTATCGTTTTAAAATGTCAATCTTATGATCTGCTTAGAAAGAAGAAAGGCGACCATAAAACTTCCAAATGCAGATGGATCTTTGCTCCACAAACCTCTTTCAGCTTGAGATCCTCTCTGGATTCCAGCCAGCATGTCGCTCAGTCTCCTCCATCGTATTGTGATACACAACAAAAGAAACCTAATAACACCTGAAGACATGATAGTCGTGTTTTAAAACCTCACACCTGACTCTTAGTGCTGCAGGGTTTCCAATGTGATCCAACAAAAGCTGCTGTTTCATTCCCAAGCTAGACGCAGCATGCTAGAAGTCCTAGCGACGTAGCCTCAGGGGATAAGATCTCTCACTCAGAAACTTTTTAGATTAAAAAGCAGATTCATGAAGGTAAAATCATCATAATCTTGGAGGAAAGTTCATAAAAAATATGAATATTGCTGAAGAGCTAAAAACAAGGCGATCAGTGGCTCAACAACCCGTTGGGTTCTTTGCCAGGCTTAAACATTGCTATCATAGTATGATCCTACTCAGAATAGCTTGTTTGGCAAGAGAGACATCGCTGGAAGCAAGAGTCCAGAATTTTATCAGTTTTCCAGGTTTGGATTTCCAAAAAAGTGTTCCCTGGTTCAATGCCAAAATGATAAATATCATAGTTATTAGTGAATGGATTGTTCTAACTTGCCATCCTCTCTTGCTTTCATCTGTTATAATACATTTAAAACCTAGGAACAAAAAACCGACTGAAAACTTTGGGAATCTGAGACCAGAAGGATATAAAACACATTTTAAACATACAAGAATATCATGTGTTTTAGCTGAAGCTATTGCTAATATAATATCTCTTCTTGAGTTAAAGGATGGATTTCATCAGAACTCAATTAGTGTTGCACCAATACCAATACCAGTGTCAGGCGGGGCCCCGATCCAGCACTAAAATGATGGTATCAGTATAGAGTCCCAACAAATAGGGCATCGATCCCATTTTGAGAGCCAAAAGTTTATTCAACTATTGTCACCAATTCCAGGTAGGCCATGAAAAGTTCTTCTGGATTCAGTTTCTTTTAGTCTTTTTCCTGCTTCACAAAGGTAGGCAGCAGCTTGAAAAATCCATGATGGCAATTATTTTACAACCAAGTAGTATGCAGTTCTTCATATATACACACGCATCAATTTCAAACAGATGGCATCAGTATTGGGGCAAAAAAAAGATTAGATTTTCATCGCAACACTACTAACAGTAAATCACCTGTAATGAAATTAACTCATTAATTTATGTTAAGTAGATTTAATTGTTTTTATGAATTAATATGCTTTTTAAATCTTGAGCATGTAGAGTCATCCTAGCCTCTGATGCTAGAGCTGTCAGACATCTGTTAAGTTAAAGAGGAAGTCCAGCCATGATTCCAGAAATTAAGCGAAGGAGAAAACAGGACACACATACAAACAAACATTTATTCACATTCATGGAAGACCAAAATAAGATCTCTTTGTAGCAATGAAAATAGTCATTCAATTTGAAACTCCAGGACAGAGCAGTAAACCAGTACAGGTCTGATGAAAATACAGTAAATATTTTTTTTTTTAGCATTCCTACAAAAAGTTTTGATAAGGGATGTGTTATATATTTAAAGTGCTTGTACTGGTAATTGTAAAGTTTAGAATAAATGTAAACTCAGAAAACAGTAACCACAGCTGGTCCAAAAGTGAAGAGTGGCTTAACTACAGTAGCTGTAGACTATCTGGTCTGACCAGAAAGCAATAAAGGTCCACATTAGACCGCAAACTTCAAAGTCTTACTTTTTCTTGCCTCTAAGGCAGGTACGTCCCTTTTTTTTCTCTTTTTCAAACACACATCATAAAAATAAAATAAATTAGTATTGCTTTTACTATGAGCAGTAGTTTACTCATAAAGTCTGTCCATTATGCTGCAGGCTTTCCCCAGCGTGACCAAAGTAAACATTTTTAAAGCCCTTTCATTTTATGCTTTCCTTTATGGATCCAAAAATCTCTTTGCTTTTCCCAGATTAAAAACAATAAAAATAAACAGCAGAAAATGAAGTGGTGGAATGGTCAGGCATGGTGTAAAGTTCAAAAAGAGACAGAGCTTTGGAGCTCTCAGAGGCAGAGCTGCTCTGTGTCGCTTTTCTCTGCAGGTATAGCGTCGATGGACCCATGAGAGCCCTCTCTCGTCTGCCCCAGAGACGATGCGACGACGTCCACCGCTAAGGAGGCGGTGGCCTCCACTGCTTCCTGATTTGCTCCCAGGATGGGGTTTACCTCCACCAGGTCCATGACTGAAAGCAGACCTGAACACCAATGCAGAAACATGTTACACTCCAAACCCAGAGGGTCTAGAACGGATGGAGGCATGCAGGAAGTGAGGTAAACTACCTGTGTTATGAATCTCCTCTGTCAGATAGATCCCTTCTCTGTAAGTCAAACCACCGTTCACCGGGGTTCCTGTGGCAGGAGCCAGAGACGGGTCGAACGCGTCGATGTCAAAACTCAGGTGGATCGGTCGCTGTTTTCTGCAGGAGAAGATTAAAGGTGAATTCCGATTGGCCCTTAAATCCAATCAGCCGGTTCATCAGGATCAGGAAGTATTATCTACCGTGCCAGAAGATGATCAAAAGTGACTTCCATGACTCTTTGGATGCCTAGTCTGTCTATATCCCTCATGGTGAAGTACTGGATTCCCAGGTTCTTTAGGATCTGGCTGCAGCAAAGTGCACAAAAAAAAAACAGGTTTTTAAAAAGTTTACATGAAGTAACAGTGTACATCAACCACATGGTAGAGATAGCTTAGGTAAAAGCAGCAACTCACTGCTCTCCGGGGTCAACATCCCGCAGCCCAATGTAAACCAGATCACGTGAAGAGAGGAAAGGTTTGGCCCATGAGAATCCAGGAATTTCTGGCATCTGGATGCAAACAACATTCTGATAAATATGTGACCATCAAAGCTAGAAAACTGTGTAACACAACAACCTTTGCTACATTGCTTTATTTTGGCGGAAGAAAAACTTACAGAGCCTTACACAATCTTTAAGTGGAGGAATAAAATTTACAGGATTTGAAGGTTTTTTCTCGTCAGAATCAAAAGGAAAACAATGTATTGCGCAATCTCATTTGCCGTATTAATCTTACTCGAAAAGCCGAAAAATATCTAAAAGCACCAACCGTTAAATAAGATAAAAAGCTTTTACTGTTCAAATCTCTTGGTTAATCACTCAACTGAAGGGCAATAAGATCAGAATAGTGCTGAAAATATTATCAGTCCTTGATTCTGGGTATTATGCTGTGTCTCTTTAGCAAACTTCAAGGTTCCAGACGTCCTGTGTTCCTAGCCTTTCTGTTGTGTCTGGCCCTCACCTTGTCTTGCAGCTCTTTGAGCATGAATGCCACAGGCTGGCCGTGAAGGTTTCCTGACGGCGAGGTCATGGGGGTGTTTATATCGGCATGGGCGTCGACCCAGATCACACACAGATCAGGGCACTGCTGGGCATGTCCGCTCACCGACCCGATAGCCAGGCTGTTGAAAGGAGAGAAGCCATGTTGAATTTCGCTATTTGAATCCCTTCAGATGCACAACCTGAGCGCAGTCGCAGTCTGCGCTGCCTTTGTTGCAGCTTTGTTCGATAAAAATACCTGTGATCTCCCCCCAGCATGACCAGAGTATGTCCGGCGCCGACGGCTCTGCTCACGGCACTGGATAACTTTTTGTTGGCGGCTCCCACACTCCTCGGGGACTTCACGTCCATGTAGGGTTCGTCCTGCTCCAGGTGCTGAAAGCTGAGGTCGCCGAAGTCATGAACAGAGTAGTCTGATGAAACATAAATTTGTTTTATTTTAATTATTTTTTATGGATGCACAATCATAGCTTTTAAAAACAACCTGGACAGCATCATAATTCGAACAACAGGTGTCAGTCGATCAGCTCAAGCAACTTGCAGCTCCTGCATGCCATTTAACATGGATTTGGCCGACCTAGCACCCTTAAGAGGTTGATGCTTTGGCTGCCAATGGAACATTAGCCACTTGTCCCTGTTCCCATGGGGCTCAGGTTTCAGTGACAGCAACGTGCAAGGTGGCGGCAGACTAAAATACTGAAAAAAATGAATTAATTTCAGGATGGACGATGGACCATGAGATATTCCTCTTATCTCTTATCTAAAGGTAATCAGGGTTGAGAATCTGATCCTTGTTAGTCGTGTGGGATTACTCCACTGGCTCATTACTATGCAAAGGCAGGACAGGAATAGCTTCGACTTGATGCAACCTCGAGCATCCCTTGCAGGACGAACTGAAGAGAGCGTTGGTGATCTTTCTGCAGGTTCTTCACTATCTAGTTTGAGCTGTACTATATGTAAAGTCTGTTGTTTGCTGCTCAGATAGCTTTGTGAGGAGTGCTTCAGCACGAATGTCTTTTAAACCCGGTGTGAACTAAAGACTTGTCAGTCTTGTCGGGTTGGTGTTTGGTTGCAGATTCAGGACTCCTTACTGATTCTGCAGCCGGATCTTTTTCACCACTGGGAAATCGACAGACTCGTTTGCATGCATATCGCCTTAAACTTTATAGCAGCAATAGAGGGTAGAGCCCATGGAAATTAAACCCAGCACTACTTTATATTTTTTACACAAAATAAAATAAAGAAGCACCCATCCAAGAAATGATTCAAGTGTAAAAAAAAAAAAGGAAATTTTAGGAAAAACGGCTACTCACTTATCAAGGAAACTCATGATCATAATAACTGATTTGATATTTAAAAATGTATGTAAACCTACACAAAATATAGTTATATTAAAATTCATTTTTTAAAGAATGAAGAAGCCATAGAAAGAACACTTCAAAAACTTAAAAATAGACTATATTAGAATGGGGTAAATTACACTTGGCTGTTTATTGTATTTTCAGATGACCTCTGAACGAGACTCAGCAGATGGAAAATAACAATAAACCAAAAAGCCTTGAGTACAAAATAGAATCATGCGATGCATCACACAATGTACAATGTTCTAAAACTACTTCTAAAAGAATATTTCTTTTTTATAAAGTAACTTATGTAAATGTAACTCAGCCTGTTATTTGTTTAATTATTTTAATTCCCCTTTAGGGCATCAGTGGAACTGATAATAAACGCAAACTATAAAGAATTACTCAGCTTTTTCCTCTCTCTTCCTTGGATATAATTACTTGGCAGTTGTCGGTTACTGAGAAGCCAACGTGAAAGTAAATACTGCTGTGAAGGCCATGAAGCGGCCGGCCTCACAGACGTTTACCTCATTTCACTCTTATTAATAGAAGGACAGTCAGAGGTACCCCATAAGTGACACAGCGGGGGGTGGAGGGGGAAGCTAGGTTTTCCATGTATCAGCGAACACACCTCCATTTTTCGGATTACCAGTGGACGCAGCATCTGAGGATGGTTATATATTTCCCTGGCTTGTACAAAAAATTAAACTTCAAAATACCTCCTAACATACAATGATAGTTTAACAACATATTGTCTGACTCATTTTGTACATACACATTTCTACTGTATTTTGTTTCAAAAATGCTTATTTAAAGGGGGATCAGCCCTACAGCACCATCCCGCACTTGTGGCTGACTTGCATTTTATAAATCTCATTGCTCAATAGAAAATTATTTTTTTTTTTCGAGGTGGTATTTTGCACAGACATGAACTCAGTAAAAGTGTAGAACAGTGATAATAAATGTGGTTCAGGCAGTTCCTGTCTTAAATAAGGAATTTAGCAGATTTTTGGATCAGGCTTCAGGTACTTAAGAGATATATGCATTGATTTTGTGTGGGGAAAAAAAAAGTTTACAACACCTATTGATAAGAAACCTAAAATCGTTATCACCACTTCATTCGTTTTGCCCCAGCAGAGGTGCCTATGTCTGGAGAACATCTATGATCAATTTCCAAGTCCTTTGGCACAGATTTAGGATTTAGGCCCCGGCCTTTGACTAGGCCACACGAATAAATCCAGTTGTATGTTTCAGGTAACTGACATGATGAAAAAAAGAAATATTGTCATCAACCAGAATCATCCTGCATTTAGTTCCACGGCAAACAATCCTAACTCCATATTTTCTCTGCTGAAGAATGTGCTCAAAAAATTTGTATTGTTAAAATTTAATGCTTTGTAATTTGAGGCCTTTTTATCAAATTAGTGTTCAGTTTGGTGATTGCAAAAGAAGAAGAAAAAAGTTGTTAACTATTCTTTATGTTAATATAACAGATAAAATTTTTATTTCATTAATCAAACTAGTTCCTGTTGCAGGATTCTTACTGTCCAACATCACATCTTCCTTTTTCAGATCTATCTGTCTGGATCAGACAGACTTCAAGGAGCCCTTGAGATGATACTTAAGCCTTCCTCTAAGGCACGTTGTCTCTGTCATGTCTGAGTCACTGTTCTCCATCATGACGCACAGACTCATTGCTTCAGCTTTACAGTAAAGGAGGCGCATTCTTTCCTACCCCAGGTTTCTATTTCAAAGCCGCACTGCTGTGACAGGCGGCTCTGCTTCAGCAACCAGAGCATGAATAAAGCCGGCGGCCACGCGCTCATCGCGCCACTTTGATTTGTTTTATTATATTTTTTCTGGAACCATTACACCTCAGTTAACCCCGCGGTGATGTAACAGGCTGGATGAGGCAGAAATAAAAACAATCCTTTGTGTAATAGCAACACATCCTCCGTTACGTAACTCCTTTATAAAGATCTGACCTTCCTGCTTTTCACCTACCGAGACCGGAGAGCCTTTCGATGAGACCCGCATCTCTGATCACTTTGGGGCCATGCTCCACTCCTCCTCTTTTCTGCCGGCAAAAATACAAAAAAAAAACAAACAAGGTCAGCGATGTTAAACGGGGATGCAACAAACTCTTAATGAATGGTATTACCTGTCCTTTTGAAAACGGGGCCCCCAGCACCGCCACAGACTGAGCTCTGTTTTGTTGGCTCTGTCTGATCTGAGTTCGCAGAAGACGGAGAAACGGTCCTCTTAATGCCATTTTCCTTCACTTATAAAAACCCGAGAGTTTCTGATGAAACCTGCTGAGTCGTTGCGCTACTGGATGCTGTTGGTGCAAAGAGGAGGAGGCGGCTCTCTTATTGCCCCCAAATCCGTTTAATATTCATGAGCTGCTGTAATGAGAGGCAGGGATGGGCGGAACAGGACGAACACGCCCTAATGTAGCCGCACAAACAACCACATATTTATATACGTGAGGGTTATCTGTGGTTAAAACTGTTAACGTGATGCAACTCTTGTTTATCAAACAGAGCGCCTTCGGATTTTATTTATATCCTCCGACGTCACGAGTGACACGCCTTCGGGTGGACCAATGGCAGCTTGCTTTGTGGGCGTGGCTTTTTTTGCTAAGTAATGTAGGCCATGAGCTGTTTTGGAGAAGCTCCCCCTGTCAGCGAAGTGGAAATTTCCAGACTGCTACAGTATTCAGCGGGACAGGATGTGAGCATAATACCCAAATATTCAAACGCAAAACATGGCTTCTCTGGTGTCATGCAAACATGGAAGCACGTCTACATGTTGAGTCATTTTTTTAAATATACTTAGCCGACAGTCAGAAAAAGTAAAAAGAAAACTAATCTGGCTTAGCACTGGATTATTAGAAATGTATTGACATGCCTTATGCCATACAGAAAAGTGAACATGTATGTTATATCAAAATGGAGCATGAGATTTGAATTTAATTATTCAACTAGTTTATTGATATAGCGCCAATTCACAACACATGTCATCTCAAGGCTTTTTACAGTTCATCAGATCATACAGTCAAATTGATTCAAAGTTTTCTATCTAAGGAAAACCATCGACTCATTGACTTGAATGCAATCCCTTACACTATTCATGCTTGTAGCGACAGTGGAGAGGAAAAACATCCTTTTAACAAGAAGAAACCTCCAGCAGAACCAGGCTCAGTGTAAGCAGATATCTGCCCACAGAAGTAGAGATTCAAAAAGCAGCTGTAAAAGGCGGCCCGTCCAGGAAACACACAGCCAGGCAGACAAGCTCCGAGCCAGCTCCCATGTCAGAGGATGAAGAGAGCGCATCCAGCCAGTTTAGTCAATTGATATTTTTATTTCAAACGTTTAATCTCATCGTGACTTTATTAATTTGCTCCAATCACAGCCAAACTACAATGTTCATGGAAAAAGAAAAAATACACAAAAGAAAAAAACAAAAAACAAACAGAATAATTTTAGCTTGATTGTCTTGCTTTAAGTAGTTTTTTGTTTGGAAATGTAGATATGTCAAATTAGTTAAAAATGCCTCTATGGAGATTAAATTGTAGGGTCCAAGTTTGAGCGTGTATTTTCAAGGGATAATAATGCATATTAAATATAGATGGCATTAATATAAAATTCATGCAAAAAAAAAAAAAAACATCTGTCAATTAAAATGAAATTGATCACCAAAAGGACATTTTATATATTTTAAATAATAAAACACAAAAATCCAGGGGGTTTGCTGAACATAAAGGTACCCAATGGTACAATATCAGGATAAATCAAGCTATTCTGATTCTATTCTGTTCCTAGATAATCCCTCGACCCAATTTTAGAATAATTTGGGTCACTGCAATCATATAGTGTAATCTTTTATTCATCCCCGTGTGCTTAAAAATGGTTTGATCAAAAGGAGTCAGCATATTTTTTAATATTTTTTAGCAGGTGGGGCTGCAAGGTGGTGCAGTGGGTATGACTGTGGCCTCGCAGCAAGAAGGTTTGGGGTCTGATTCACGGCCCGGGGTCTTTCTGCATGGGGTTTACATTTTCTCCCCATGCATGCGTGGGTTCTCTCCGGGTACTCCGGCTTCCTCCCACAGTCCAAAAACATGACTGTTAGGTTAACTGGCTTTTCTGAATTTTCCTTGTGTGAGTCTGTGTGGGCATGGTTGTGTGTCTCTGTATTGCCCTGCGACCTGTCCAGGGTGTATCCTACCTCTCGCCAGAGATAGGAACTGGCTTTGTTTAAAAAAAATATAAATATAAAAAATATAACTGCGGATGTCTGGGGGACAGTGATTAGCCTACATGTTATGAATGCTGGCGTACCATAAAGAATAAATTATGAACAGTTTAGTTTGTGCCTTCAACTCGTTACTTGGATATAACCTAACCGAATATCTTCAGAACAGCTCCAAATGACACAAGACTCATATGGGTGAGTAAAACATGATGTCATAACATAAAATCAAGGGCCAAATGAAAAAAAAAAAAAACGGCGTTCCCCTTTAAGTGTGCCATAAATCCACGGTTTCAGACTGAACAGATGAAAACTCTGATCCTACTCCAATAAGCCTGAAGCTTAATTTCTGGCTCTAATTGCTTCTTCAAATAAATTTTAAAGGTGGAATATTAGTTAAGTCCAAGGGACAGTGATTTAAAAAATGTTATAGTTTCTTAAAATTAGTGCAAAAATCATAAATAAGTTTATCTGGCGTATTTTTAACCTTGAAATAAGAGAATCACATATTATCCATGTCAAATAAGATTATAGATGTTTCCTAATTATAGAGGTATTGCTCTTTTTTCAAATATAAATCATCTTATTTCAGGGGAAATTGTCTCACAGTAAGAAAAAAAATTACTTATATTTAATATTTGTAGGGTATGCTTTCAGTACAGAGACCCTAATAGGGGCCAGGGGCAGTTCTACAGGAGCTGGCACCTGATGGCCCCTGTATAGAACCGCCCATGTAGCAAGAAGTCCGCCACAGCATGAACTTGACCTTGTAGTTGTGGGTGTTTTACTTTTTGTTACATTTTTAGAAACGACTTTGGCGCCACCAAGTGTTAAAACACAGGTAATGTTTCCTACCAAATAATGGGGTCTTTGCCCCGAGTTTATTATGTCAGGTAACCAGGACGATTTGTAGTCTGGTTAGACAACTTGTACTTTCTACTCCAATAGTTACCCCAATGGCTTTAAGTGTGATGTTATGAGCCTGATACATGTTGAAGTCCAGTCGTCTTTTATTTTGGCAGCCAGGAATCTCCTGTTCTGAATTACAGAGGAATGGAAAATCTAGTGCAGAGATTACTGCACTATGTTTAGTGTCGAATAAAAACTTTGCATTTCCCTGCAGCCCTAAATTATTTTTTAAATCAGAATCGTACAATTTCAAATACCTAATTTATTCTTTATTTATTATCCGTACAGACTTGCGTTCAGCCTGCAAGTCAGCGCTGTGGGCTTAGAAACCTGGCGGCGCTATCCCATGATTCCTTTCCCAGTTTTTCCTCAACCAGAAGGGTTTCCTTTAGCCCACCGGTGTCTTATACAACCTTTTACTCCTTTCTTCTCTGTCTTTTTTCGTTTTGGGGCCTTTTGTATGCGAAACCATAAAACTGGAGTCCGTTTTCTTGATTTAGCATTATATTGTAGGTGAGTATATCAGTTAATGAGCGCCGCAGCTGCTAAACTGAACTAGCAAAAAGGGAGCTACACAGCTAGCCGTTTTGAGCTAATTAGGCTACTTAACGTCGTGTAATGCTAAAACTAGCGCGTGCATAACATGTTTAGTATTAAGTTGTATGTTTTAATTGAAATAATACTGTTGTTTATGCGTTTTTTTTGTTCGCTATATGTGGGGGAAACGGAAAGCTTTGTCTTCTTTGTCAGTAATAAATAATGTTTTGCACCCCTGCAGGTTTTCTTAGGATGTCTTACTCTCCTCCGATCAACCGCCCACCGATCGGCCTCCCACAGCTGCCCCCCGGGATACCCCCTCCTCAGTATGCAGGCTTTGCTCCTCCAGGTATAAATAAAGTACCTGTCAGCTGTTTGAAATACAGAGACACGTCTTTATAGATATGAATAGCAACACTATAGCAAGTGTTACTATCAAAACCAAGGTTGTAAAGCTAAGATTTTAATCATATGCATTTGGATTTTAGAATTAAATCGACACAAAGTAGGACAATTGTTTCAGAGAAAAAGGGATGTAATCCTATACATTTAAGCACATATTATTTTGATGAAAGAGAAACTTACTGAAAATTCATACAGGTTCTGCATGGGGGTAATATTATGCCTTCAAAGTCATTTCTAGTAAAGCCCACTTGTTGAATAGCAAATTACAAAAGAAAAAATAGTGTCCTAGAAGTTGCAGCTATTTTTAAGCAAAAACATAAAAAAGTGTTAGGGATAGTAGGCCTGGGCTATATCACTATGATATATGGCTATATATCTAATCTTCTAATTTTTTTTCCCTTCCAAATTTCAGTAATCATTTTTTTTTTATTTTAGTTTTTATATATGTATTTATATTTTTCATTCCAACTTCATTATAAAAAATACAAATGACATATATATCTCTAATTTCAATCATCCCCTCTGGGAGGTAATAATTTTAAAGCAGGGGTCTTCAACGTTTTCCA